AAATACTTTCTAGGGGCATCTGGGTGGTTCAGCCTTTAAACATCTGCCTTCAGCTCAGGTCATGATCCTGGGGTCCTGGGATTGATCGGGCTCCCTGCTAGGCAGGAAGCCTGCTTCTCCTTCTCCCATTCCCTGCTTGTATTCCTGCTCTCGCTGTCTGTCAAAAAAAAAAAAAAATAATAATAATAATAAAATCTTTAAGGAAAAAAAAAAGACTTTCTATAGTCACAGAAATGTAGATGTTTGATACTGGTAGTGGGATAAACAATAAACCAATGGACTAGAGAGCCCATGAAACAAAATCCACACATATATGGAAACATATATGACAAGTGGAAGGGTAGATCAACAGGGAATAGATAACCATTCACTAATGGATTTTGGACAACTGGTTGTATCCATGTTTTTCTTTTTAAAGTGATTTTTTTTCATTATATCAAACCATCTACATACACACATACAAGGTAGACAGAGTAAAGAGTTAAATGTGAAAAACAAAGCTTTACTACTGTATCTTAAAAATCATGAATGAGTATTGAATTTTATCAAATATTTTTTCTAAATGTATAAAATAATCAGTTATTTTCACTTTATTCTTTTAATGCATTGAATTACAATGATAGATTTATTCATGCCAAACTATTCTTTCATTTCCAAATAAATTAAAAAAAAAGCTTTACTTACAACTTTTAGAATGTAGAATATCTTTATTAAGGATATCTTAAAATACAAAAATCACAAAACACACAGAGAAAAGCTAATAAATTTGACACTCAACTTAAAAATTTCTGCCTAAATATATATCCTAATTCTAATCAAACATTTAGACCTAACTTCCAGTTCATAGGAAATAGAAGAGTTAGAAGACACCATGAAGTTACCACCAATAATTCCCCAAATCTGAAACATTCTGTGAAATATTCTGGCCTAAACTATTCAAAAAGTCAATGTCATTAAAAAAAAAAAAAAAAAGGTGGGATGGATAGGTAAGAAATTCTTCTAGATTAAGAAAACAAAATGACAAGAACAACATGCAAGGCCTGGACCTTGAGTTTGGGTTTAAAAACAAAATCAACACCTAAAAATGACATTCCTGAGACAATCAGGGAAATTCAAATATTGACTATGTGTTATATATTATGGGATTATTGTTACTTTGTTAAGTGATCTCTATGCCTAGTGTCGGGCTGCAACTCCTGACCCTGATATGGAGCTGCATGCTGTATCAACGGAGCTAGCCAGGCACCCTTATTATTAATTGTCTCAAGTGTGATAATAATATTGTGGTTAAACAGGATGCTTGCATTTTAGGAAAGCATGGTGAAATACTGAAAAGTGAAAGGTCATGATTATTTTCAATTTACTTACAAACCGTTCAACAACAAAGAGTTATTGACTGCTAAATCTGGATGGAAGGTATATGGATGTCCACAGTTTTTGGGTTTCTATATATGTATGAAGCTTTTCATATTACAAAGTTGAGGGGAAATTCATAACTTGTGCTCTTCCAAGGGCATCAATAGGAAGGTGAAAAAATTAGCCACAAACTGAGAGAATATGTTCATAACATCTCATGGTAATAATGGATTAGTATCCACAGTCCATAAAATTCTGTAAGAAGAAGACAGTAACTTCACATAAAACAGGCAAAAGACATGTAAAACTTTTCAGAGGGAGCCATCAGGAATTAATAAAACACATATGAAAAAAATGCTCAACCTTGTTAGCATTTAGGAAATGCAAATTTAAATACTGAGATTTCCACTTGGGCCAAAAAGAAAGTGACAGGACCAGGATTTACCTTCCCCATTTTAAACAACTAAAAACCTGTACAAAGTATATACTACATAGTTTTTCAGACACTGGACAGCAGCCAGTGCAGGACAGTGATTCTTGAGAGAAGGAAAACAAACAAGAAAGCGACAATTGCCTAAGCTGATATGCAATTTCCACACTGTAGGACTATGACAGGGATGTGATTAGAAAGAGCCTGGGAGTCTCCAGGAAGAGGAGAGTTGGCGGAGGCAAGATGAAGTTTGTAGGGCAGAATACTGGAAAAAGGAGGGAACTACAGAGGGAAGAGTTCCAGATCTGAGAGGGTTTGCCCGAGTCTTCAGCTGAATATTCATTGGTGTATACACACGAGGAAACCACCCAAAGGTGGGAAAGAACCACCAGGAGAGAGTAGGCAGCACAACCTGGGAGTTCATATAGGGCTCAAAATAGTTCTTGTTCCCAATAGCCAGAGAGGGAAATCTCCGAAGAGACTTAGCAAAGGGGAGATTATTCAGAAGGGTATTACCTCAGTAGTGGGCCACATTAGCCCGAAAAGCTCTTCTGGTTCTACCTCATCACACTTAAAAGCAAGCTATAAAAGGATCAGACTGTTTGCAAGTAACTTAATTATGTTCCAGAGAAAGCTCAACATATTTAAAGGAACACAAAAACTCTAGTATGCAGCAATGTAAAATCTAAACATTACCAGGCATGCAAAGTAAATCACAACTTAATAATGGGTGGGGAAAAAAAAATCAACCAACAGAGACAGACCGGAAGTGATACAGATGACAGAATGGTCAAATACATTAGAACAGCTATTATTAATGTACTCCAGGTGTTAAAAAAAATGGAGGAAAGCATGAGCCTGTTAAGGAAAAGCACGGAGGATATAAAAAAGACCCAAATGGAACTTCTAAAATTAAAATATTGTATCTAAGGTGAAAAATACACTGGATGGGATTAACAGAAGATCAGATACTTCAGGAGAAAAGATGAATGAACTTGAGGACACAGCCATGGAAACTATTCAATTTCTGAAATAGGAGAAAAAGACTTCACCCAAATGCGGCATCAGTATAATGTGTGACAACCTCAGATGGCCTAACATACAAGTCACTGGAGTCCTGGGAGAGGAGTGAGAGGAGGGGAGGGACAGAAAAAAGTAACTAAATAAATAATACCCACAGCATTTCCAAATTTGGTGAAAATCATAAACCTGTAGGTAAACAGCCCCAGCAGAAGAAACATGAAAAACTATACCAAGCACATCATAATCAAATTGCACAATAGCAGTGATAAAATGTTAAAAGCAGCTGGCAGTGGTGGGGGGAGGGTGGAAAAAAGCAGCCAGAGAAAAATAACGAGTTACATATAGAAGAACAAATATAAGAATAATAGTAATCTCCTTGCTGGAAACCACAAGAAGCTACCACTAAGCATTCACTACACTGGTGAAATTTAAGATTGAAACTAAGAAGTGTTCAAGATGGTGTAAAACGAAGGTAACTCACATAGCGCTGGTCTGGGCATAAACTGGTTCAGCCACTGCAGAATATAATTTGGCATTATCTTGTAAAGATGAAGATATCCACACCATATGAGCGAGCAATATCACTCCTGGACACAGAATGTTAACAGCAGCACTGTTTGCAACAGCAAAACCAAAAACAAACCAACAACTCCAAATGTTCATTAACAGAAGAGTGGGAGAGTTGTGGTCTATTCATATGATGCAATAAAGCAATAAAAATGAATGATTCTCTAAAGAAATACTAAGTTGAAAAAGCAAGTCATAGAAGTAAACATACATTATGCCACATATAAAATTCAAAAACATACAAAATTTAACATTTTATTTTTTAATACATACATTGTTGTAAAACTGTAACAAGCAAGAGAATGACAAATACAAAATTCAGAATAATCATCACTTGAGGAGAGAGCACAAAGAGGGTTTCTAAAATGCAGGTGATCTTCTATTTCTTAAGCTGGCTCATGGGCACACAAATACTATTCTTTATACCTTATATATACATGTCTGTGAATTTTTAAGTATGAAATACTTCATTTAAAAAAAGAAGAGTGGGAAATGTGAAAGACTTTAAAAATGAAGACTACTGTTTATGAATAACAATAAAATTACTGTAAAAAAGTATACCCCAAAAAATGTTCAGTTCTTTATAGTCTTTCTGTGCCCTATACAATCAGTATCAATTGAAAAGGGCCATAACCCTAGGATGAAAAAAAAATAATGAGCAGAGTCTTTAAGGGCTTTGACACAAAATCTGAATATCTGAGGCTCTACATTAGACAACAGTAAATACATTAGCCACTCATGTCTGATTCTTCATTTTTCATCTGTACTTAGATTTTTCTTTATCTTTGGATTTCTTGGGACTCCTACTTCGGTCTCTCTTTTTACTCCGTTCTCTTTCATAGGGGTCGGTCTGGTATTTGGATTTGTGACTATTACTGTAGTGGCCGTCCCTTTCTCGAGATCGGCTACGACTTCGGTTTTGAGGTCGGTCTCTCTTTTCACTCTTTTGTTTCTCCCAACAGCTTTCTTCTTCTTCATAGTGACCAAACCCCATCTCCCTGTAGATATCCTGTCAAAGGAATGGAGAGAGAGTTACAAGTGAATCCGTAAAATAATCATTTTGTAGGTAGTCAATTAATAAAACTCAGAAAGTCTACCATACCAAGCAGCTGTAACAGCTCAAATTTGAACATTACCGCTAATGCTGAGAATCTTCTAAATTAGCAAAAATAACTCAGAAAGACTTAATCATTTTTCTTATCAATCTCATTGCTTTCTATCTACTACTTCAGCTGAACTGAAGGATCAGATCCCAAAACAAAGAACTGAAATCACCCAACTGAAATCAGAACAAGTGTTTAGAGAAAATCACAATACCAAGAATTCTGGCTGTGGCTAGTCACCTTTCTACCTCCCCCTTCTCTACTCCCCAACTGATCTGCAATGGAATTACTAAAACTCCCATAAAAACCCTAAAAAGAAGACATTTAAATAACAGCCAGAAGAGGTTTTAGACAAGTCAATCAGTCTAAAAAGAAGACAGATACTGCATACTTTGGTCTGAGTGATTATTTTTTATTTTTTTTATTTTTATTTTTTTAAGATTTTATTTATTTATTTGACACAGAGAGATCACAAGTAGGCAGAGAGGCAGGCAGAGAGAGAGAGGGGGAAGCAGGCTCCCTGCTGAGCAGAGAGCCTGATGTGGGACTCGATTCCAGGACCCTGAGATCATGACCTGAGCTGAAGACAGAGGCTTAACCAACTGAGCCACCCAGGCGCCTGAGTGATTATTTTTAAAGTGTTTATTTTTTAATAGCTTCTCTCCAAATCTTCAATATATTTCCCTTGTTTACATTAGGCTGATATATGTGTTTTACTAAAATCATTTCTTGGGATGCCTGGGTGGCCCAGTCAGTTAAGCATCAGACTCTTGATTTTGACTCAAGTCCCGATGTCATGAGTCAGGAGACGGAGACTGGTGTCAGGCTCCACCCTCAGAGAGGAGTCTTCTTGAGAGTTTCTCCCGCTGTCCCTCCCTGCTCACATGCATGCACTCTCTCTCTAATAAATAAGTCTTAAATAAATAAACAAATAAATAAAATCCTTTATTTACATATAAAAATGAGTTAAGAAACAATGGGCCAACAGAGTAGATACATTAAATTCTTTTTTTTTTTTCTTTTTTAGAGGGGGAGAGAGAGACAGAGACAGAGAGAGGAGAGGGGCAGAGGGAGAGAATCTTAAGCAGGTGAGCCACCTAGTGCCCCTACATTCTATTCTTACTAAGTAACAGTAATAATTTTCCTATATGAAGAGAGCTAGTTACAACAATTCTATTTCTCTTTGTATTCTATCCCTAATTAAAATGAGTATCTCAGGGGAGCCTGAGTGGCTGAGTCTTTTGAGCATCTGACTATTGATCTCAGCTCAGGTCTTGATCTCAGGGTCGTGAGTTCAAGCCCCACCTTGGCTCCACTCTGGGCATGGAGCCTACTTTAAAAAAATAAATAAAATAAAATGAGAATCTCAGCAAGTGGCTGAAATCTAAAAAGAGACCAGAGCCAATGCTCTTTCAAGAGACAGTTCATAAAATTCAACTTCCTTAAAAGATTTCTCTCAGAGGAAAGCAAAATCCTAAGGATTGAGTTCCCAAGGGTCCCAACTCTATCACCACAGACATTATTATAGTAGATGTAAATGTCAAGGTTTCAAATCTAGAGTGATGAATACCCACTGTTAATAACTGGGTTTTAAGGATTCATAATTATTCATAATTATCCCATGCATTGTCTAGATACTGTACCTTACACTTGGCATGGAGACTGCAGCACGTGAAAATAGATCTAACAGGATTGTTATAATCAGTGTTTGTGGAATACAACTTTATAAGCCATTTCATGATTTCCTGCACAATCCCAATAGTTCTTTTCACTCTATAAAGTCCCAGAGGAATGGTTTAACTCTTTAACAACTACTTTCGAGCAATATATGACAGCCCTAGATAAAAGAATTTTTTGTGCTTCCTTTAACATACACAAAGTGTAAATATCTATGTACTATTCTCTCTGTCTACTTAAGTCCTGTATTAGATGAGGTAACAAACTTCTAAAATGGAGAGACGGCTAACCGATACAGAACTATAAAATTTTCAGTAATTATACAAATAGGCACTTAAGTGCTTTGAGTGTTTAAAATACAACAGAAAGAGATAAAAGATTATACAGTACTTAATTCTCTGAAAAACTTGATGAAACTGAAAATCTGAAATGCACTGAAACCTTAAAACCTCTCCTACTAGGGGCACCTGGGTGGCTCAGTTGTTACGCGTCTGCCTTCTGCTCAGGTCATGATTCCAGCGTCCTGGGATCGAGTCCCACATTGGGCTCCCTGCTAAGCAGGAAGCCTGCTCCTCTTTATCCTACTCCCTCTGCTTGTGTTCCCTCTCCCTGTCAAATAAATAAAATCTTTAAAAAAAAAAAAAAAAGCCTTTCCTACTTGGAGTATTTTTCGAAGCTACACACTTTAAAGTTTGGCAGTTCTAGGTTCAAAACAGTCTTTGTTATTTAAGAGAAGTGTCAAACAAGAAATAATCTTGAGATTGGATTTACCAGGGAAGGTTTCATAGAGAAGTTGGTTGGGACTTGAGATTAACCTCAAAGAATGAGTGGGTTTGGCTGTGGATTGGCTGCAAGAAGGCTAATGCATGGAGTGGAAGTGAAAACTAAAAAGGAAGAATCAGCACCATGTGCACGAAGGGGAAAAGGTCAGGAGGCTGGATGAAGCCATATTAGAATAGACCTTTAAGTGTGTGCTAGCACAGTGCTAAGTATTTCTGGAATACAATATTACCCTCATTCTAGAAAATAAGGAAAGTGAGACTCAAGAGATCTATACAGGGTGGAGAAAATTTAACTGATCAGTGACTTGACATACAAAATTGAAAAGGGGGTGGTAGAGAATAATGAAAAACCCCATACCTGACTGAATCAATATAATGTTAAAGTTCTAGCTCTCTCATTAAACTATAAAAGGCCACAGGCCTGTGGGGTCAAAATCTTTACATCTAAGGGAAAGGCAATGAATTAGATGAGCTGTCAGCCCTCTCCAGTACAGACTTTAAAAAATTCTATCATTTTATACCCTTAAGTCGTAAGACAAAATGACAAAACTAGTATGTGGCTAAAAAGGAAAGAAAGAAACACCACAAAATAGCCAATTTATTTATTTTTTTAAGTGGCCAATTTAAAGCAATCACCTTAACCTATCCAGTGATTTCATGTAAAGCAGTCCAAAAAAAATCTAAACTAAAAACTATCCTTGCTCAGGTCTCTAGGACTAAATCAAAGATTTAGTTAAGTCTAAATCACTAAAATAACATTAACTGATTAAAATGACAGCAAAAACAGAGTCCCCAGTTATAAGAAAATAACCACTTATGAAAGCCACAGAGGAGAACTGACAACCAGGATGCATCCTCTCTACCAGGCAACCCACAGCCCAAAACTCACTTCCCGAAACTCCAGTAAAACCCAAACCTCAACAACATAGTAACCTAACCATCTCTGGAATTAAGACACGAGGTGGAAAAATTAAACAGAGAAGTTTTCAAATTGAACAGTGAGGCTGTCAATCAATAAAAAACAAAGAATTTGAAGAAATAAGTTAAAACATTCTTAGGAAACTAGGCTCACCAAGCAAAATACCAACAAACAGGAAAATCTGAGTTACACTTGAGCATGACCTAGTACTGAAAATTCCCTTTAAAGATTATATTTTTGAGACTGAAATCAAAAGGATAAAAATCAGAATAATAAGACAAAAAAATGGGCCCACTAAAATCTTAAATACAGATGCTATTTCATTGGGAAGAAAAAGAAAATTAGTGTACTTGTATTATTAAATCAAAGTACAAAACAAAACACATTTGCTTTGAGGGGAGAAATAAGTTAAGAGATGATTATTTGGAACTTAACAATTTTATAAGTGCCAAATAATTTAATATTATTTTTTTAAATTCTAACATTGCCCCCCAAAACTACTTAATGGCTTTTACTCCATGCCAAAAAAGAAAAATATTTTCTATTGTAAAGTTTTAAGTAATCAAACAGCAGGATAAGAAAGATGTACAAAAAGAAGGGGGAAACACACACTTAAAATGCAGCCAGATTTTGGATTTTTTAGACCTCTGGTTATTTCAAACACACCAATATGTATCTCACACCTAAATTCACTGAAAATTCTATGTACAAGTACAGGATGAGAAGCCGTAGCTAAAAGCAACAGGCAGCATGGTGGTCGGGGGTGATGCAGAGGGTGGAGATAAGGAATTCTAGTGGAAAACGTGCTAAATATTCACAGAAATGTGATGTAGCCACCATTTCAAAAGACTGGGGTGGTCTTAGCCTAAACTAATACAGTACAAAAATTAAGAGGGAGACATGCTAGTTAGATCACACTGGAATATTACACTAGGAGACAAATTTTATTAGGATAGCAACAGAATTTAGGAGAGAAAACTGCCAGAATGTACTCAAGGTCAGAGCAGCAGCAGAGTGGCTAGGAGTGCAAGTCTGGATTTACACTGTGGCTCTGCTACTCATCAGCTCTGAAAAACGAGGGCAAGTCACTTAAACTCTTCAGTTTTCACCCTCTCGTAAAATGGGGGAAATCGTATCCACCTCACATTGTCAAGCACACAGATGCCACTAGCTGTCACTGAGGCATGTGCGTCTTAGTTGGGAGAACTGAGTAACAGAGGAAAGGTGTAACTTACACGCTTACGGCGGCGCATTAAAGATGGGACTCTTTAAATAGCAAAAAGGCGGGGCACCTGGGTGGCTCAGTGGGTTAAAGCCTCTGCCTTCGGTTCGGGTCATGATCCCAGTGTCCTGGGATCGAGCCCTGCATCAGGCTCTCTGCTCAGCAGGGAGCCTGCTTCCCCCTCTCTCTCTGCCTGCCTCTCTGCCTACCTGTGAGCGCTATCTGTCAAATAAATAAATAAAATCTTTTTTAAAAAAGAAAAATAAACAAATAGCAAAAAGACTATGGAAAAAGGTCCACAGGCTAACACCAAGGAGTAGGAATACATGCTATCTAGAATAGAGGAAACTAAGAATATATATAAAATGCAAATCAGCTGAAATTTTTTAAAAGTGAAGAACAATCCATGAAGCACACTGGGCGGTTACCTTGGGGGGGCAGAAGAAGTGGGGGGCAGGGACAGAATCTAGGTTCTCTGCACATACCACTTCGTAGATTGTACTTTGAAAGCATACAACAAATTTTTAAAACTACAAAACACAAAATATTATTTAAAGCAATCCCTAAATATTGAAAAGAAACAAATTAATTTATGAGTCCAGTGAATGGCCTTACCACAGAAACTATTCTGACTTAAAACACAGTAATTTGTAACAGTAAAATAACAGCCAGTGTAGAAAATGTGTGCACATCATACTTCTTCACTTAATCTTAACAACATACCTGTGAGGTAAATATAATCTCAATTTCACATAGGAGGCAGCTCAGAAAACTAGTTAGCTTGTTGAGGCCACATCAATGGCTAGTGGTGCAGAAACTTTACACCTCGCTTCTCTGGAGCCAATCCTGCATTTTGCCAACCATACTACATCTCTCCTTCTCGGGGTCTTTGCTTGATGGGCCATTCCCCCATCTTGAATTTTCTCCCTCTCACCTCTGCCTACTAAAATCTCTTTACCCACCACACCTAGCTCAAAAGTCCTCCCGTGGTAACACAAAAGCAAAGAGCTATCATGTAATTTGCTTTTCATTTAATGGAGAGCCAAAACACAGGCTAGAAATGACTTCTCCCTAAAGTCAATTTTCTTTGAGGAATTATTAGTAATATGGTCTTTGAAAATGTATTGTTAGGGCACCTGGGTGGCTAAATCGGTCAACAGTCTGACTTCAACTTCTGCTCAAGTCCTATGTCAGGGTCCTGGGATTAAGCCCCCTGTCAGGCTCCGAGCTCAGTGGGGAGTCTGCTTGTCTCTTTTCCCTCCCCCTGTTTGTGATGGTCCTCTCTCTCTCTCTCTCTCTCTCACACACACACACACACAAATAAAAACATCTTTAAAAATAAAACATGTGGGGCGCCTGGGTGGCTCAGTGGGTTAAGCCTCTGCCTTTGGCTCAGGTCATGATCTCAGGGTCCTGGGATCAAGTCCTGCATCGAGCTCTCTGCTCAGCGGGGAGCTTGCTTCCTCCCCGCCACCTCTGCCTGCTTGTAATCTCTCTCTCTGTCCAATAAATAAATAAAAATCTTAAAAAAAAAAAAAAGTATTGTTCAAAAATACATTTGGGATGATCAAGTTAATTATGAGTACTCTTTTTATTTCAGATACACAATATGGAAGGGCATAAATGTTTCACAGGTCTTAAAACTTCAAGAGCAGGGCTCCTGAGGAGCTGAGTCAGTTAAGTGTCTGCCTTTGGCTCAGGTCATAATCCCAAGGTTCTGGGATCGAGCCCCGCCATCAGGCTCCCTGCTCAGCAGCGGTGTCTGCTTCTCCCCCTGCCCCTGCTCATGCTCTCACTTTCTCTTTTTCAAATAAATAAGTAAAAATCTTGGGGCGCCTGGGTGGTTCAGTTGGTTAACCGACTGCCTTTGGCTCAGGTCATGATCTCAGGGTCCTGGGATCGAGGCCTATATTGGGCTCCCCTGCTCTGCGGGGAGCCTGCTTCTCCCTTTCCTTCTGCCTGACACTCCCCCTGCTTGTGCACTCTCTCTCTCTAATAAATAAGTAAAATCTTAAAAAAACAAATAAATGGGGACACCTGGGTGGCTCAGTGGGTTAAAGCCTCTGCCTTCGGCTCAGTTCTGGGATGGAGCCCTGCATCGGGCTCTCTGCTCAGCAGGGAGCCTGCTTCCCTTCCTCTCTCTCTGCCTGCCTCTTGGCCTACTTGTGATCTCTGTCTGCCAAATAAATAAATAAAATCTTTTTTAAAAAAATTAATAAATAAATGAAAATAAGTATCTTTTAAAAAATAAAAATAATAAAAAATAAAGTAAAAAAAAACTTCAAGAGCTATAAGCACTATCCATAACACTAGGTGATAAGTTAAAATGACAAATGAGCACTTTTTCAGCACAACCACACTTGCTTCTGATGGGATTAAGTGTCCACAGGTTCAGAAATCACTCATTTCACAATATGGAACTGAATGATATATATTAAGTTACTCTGAAGACAATCTTTTACCATTTGTGATCTATATTCTTGAACACTCAAGTCCCTTACCCCAGAGAAACCATTCTATGTACTAGAGTTAGGAACATAACCACCCTGTTCAGAACTATATCCGCACCCCCTATATTATGCCACTAAGAAATAATTTACAGAGGGATGAAATATTTCTCTCTCTCCAGCTAAGGCTGGACATTACAAGTACCTGGTTGGTATTTCTGATTGGCATGTAGTCCTCATCTTCTTTTTCTTCAGAGCAGTGACGAGTTTTCTTCTTGTGTTTTTTACTTGTGTGTGAATGACTTGATTTTGAATCTTCTGCTTGCTCATCTAGCACAAGATCATATTTTGCACTGCAGCAACTAGTTAAGGACAGACATGAGAACTGACACTGATAATACAACAAAATGTAAGAATCTGGTAAATGAAGGAGGCCATGAGGCTAAAGGTAATTTTTTAAAGCAAAAAGCACCTCACAGGGGCGCCTGGGTGGCTCAGTGGGTTAAGCCTCTGCCTTCGGCTCAGGTCATGATCCCAGGGTCCTGGGATCGAGCCCCACATTGGGCTCTCTGCTCAGCGGGAAGCCTGCTTTCTCCTCTCTCTCTGCCTGCTTCTCTGCCTACTTGTAATCTCTGTCTGTCAAATAAATAAATAAATAAATAAATCTTTAAAAAAAAAAAAAAAAGCACCTCACAAGCATAGAACTTATTTCTGAAACAAAACTACTTCATATTTTCTTTCAGGAAAAATGGAAAGGACCCTGTCCTGAAGTAAACAATTAACAATTGGCAAGTGAGTGGGGAAAAAAAAAAACAAAACAGGGGGCAAAGAAACCTGTATTCACAAACGAAAATTTAAGCAGCCATAAAGAATAAGGAAACTTATTTGTCAATAATGAAAAAAACTTAAACTTAGAAAATGAGGTACATGTTTCACTGGAAAAAGTTAAGATATTATAAACCCCAATGATAGAGGAGCTACAGGAGATAAAAGACATTCATGTGACCCCTCTTTTCAAGTATTAATTAGTTCAATTCTATAGGAGAAAATTTAGCAAGGCCTCACAACAGCCATATTTAAATTGAAGGAAGAATTTATAAAAGGTTAAAGTAAGTTAAATAAAGGTATACATAACAATTACTTTTTATAACAGAAACTGAGAGTAACAAAAGCCTAGTAATAAAGACATTCTTAAATATACTGTAGAACTTCAACAAGATATATTATTACAAAGAAGTTATTAGCAATGATAAATGAATGTTACAAAAACACCCAGAAAAGTGACTACGAAAAATTAAAAGTGGAAAAAGCTTGAAATAAAAATTATCTATACCATATGGTAATCGTAACTTTACAAAACATAAAAGATCAAGATTTGAAAGAAACAATGAGAAAACTATCATTTGTCTAGGTAAACTGTGAGTGGATTTTTTTTTCTTAGTTGAAGTGTAGCTGACATACAATATTGTGTTAGTTTCAGGTATACAACACAGTGACTCCACATTTACAGACGTGAGTAAATCCTGTCTTAACTTCATATAAATGTGTTATTTTTTAAGGATTTTTTAATTTTTTATTTGACAGACAGAGATCACAAGTAGGCAGAGAGGCAGGCAGAGAGAGAGGGGGAAGCAGGCTCCCCGCTGAGCAGAGCCCGATGCGGGGCTCGATCCCAGGACCCTGAGATCATGACCTGAGCTGAAGGCAGAGGCTTAACCCACTCAGCCACCCAGAAGCCCACACATAAATGTGTTATAAAAGTTATGGTAATGTGTTTTAATTCAGTAATGGTAATGTAATTTAATTCTAATATACTATTATGTTTTGGAATAAGAAAAAATATAAAACTGCTGCACTCTCTGTTGAAAATAATCTCAAATTCTAAAATAGTATCTGAGGAAGGCTGACAAGGGCCAGAATAGCAGTTTTCAAAAAAAACAGCTTCGGAGGAAGCCCAACATGCGAGCTGTTTTAGAGGCATGTGCAACTAGAGGAATGGCAGACACTCAGGACTAGCGTTGTTGGATCTGTTTTAACAACGCCTAAGCCCTATGCCTTCCTCTGGGGCATCTCACTTCTACATAACATTGAACAGGCTTGGCTTTTCACAAGATGACTAAAGACAGCCAGTCAGCCTGCACCATATCCTATTCCTACTTCATTATCTCTAACTTCTTTTCTCCTTTATATTACATTACACTGCTTCCAGAGTAGCTTCTGGAGCCTGTCCTTTTCAGGTACGTATCCAAAAGCCCTTGCCCAGGATCTCACTTCCTGTGCTGCTGTACACATGCAGCTCCTTCTGTCCAAAATCCATTTAGTGCATCACAGCCAGCATTTTGTAATAAGGTAGAATAGAAAACAGAGTACATGGCACCTAATAAAAATACCATGGCATTTCTGTTTCAATTATGTGTGCATGTGAATGGCTATAACCTGCTTCCCTCTCTCTCTGCCTGCCTCTCTGCTTACTTGTGATCTCTGCCTGTCAAATAAATAAAATCTTTTTTTTTAAAGATTTTATTTATTTATTTGACAATGATCACAAGTAGGCAGAGAGGCAAGCACCAGAGAGAGGAGGAAGCAGTCTCCCTGCCAAGCAGAGAGCCCGATGTGTGGCTTGATCCCAGGACCCTGAGATCATGACCTGAGCTGAAGGCAGAGGCTTCAATCCACTGAGCCACACAGGCGCCCCAAATAAATAAAATCTTTAAAAAAAAAAAAAAATCCAGTTGCTCAGTCCTTTTCACATGCTGAAAACCACATGGGGCTAGTAGCTACACTGGAGGGTAATATTTTCCACCACTGTAGAAAGTTCTAGTGGACAGTACTGGGCTACAGATTTATTCTCAAATTTATGCCTGGTTTCTTTAACTTTCAGTAATCTATCACCTTGAATTTAAAACATTTTATGACTACATATTCATTCTTTTCAGCCTGAACTACTTACCTCTATGAGAGAAAAGACAAAAGACATCGCCTTGTATTTTACACTTGATGCCTTGTGTTCCTTTTATTTGCCCTACACATCTGCCAGCTGCAGCTATTAATGGTTAGCTTAAATTTATTTTTTTTTACAGATTTTATTTATTTATTTGACATACAGAGAGAGAGACACTGAGAGCGAACACACGCAGGGGGAGTGGTGAGAGAGGGAGAATCAGGCTCCCCGCTGAACAGAGACCCAGATACAGGGCTCCATCCCAGGACCCTGGGATCATGACCTGAGCCGAAGGCAGCAGGTTAACGACTGAGCCACCCAGGCACCCCAGTGGCTAGCCTAAATTTAATTTCAAAGATTTGTTAAATAAATCTCAAGTGTATTCTATACAGGCCTTTTATAATTTTAATATTTCAATCACATCCGCCCTAATGTTCATCTTTTTAGACTAAATCTTTGTTTACTGTTTGGTGTGCCTGCATGAGAAAGCTTCCTCCTCATGTCAGTACAATTCAGACTTTATCCACCTCTTATGCCTTACAATGCTTTATGCATTATAGACAGTCAACACATTTTTTAAAATGAGTATATAATAAATCAACCTGATATTCATCTTTCCTTGATGAATACTTGGAAAAGAAATGTCTAAGACAGTGTGGGAAAAGAGAATCCCTAAAACACCAACAGAAATTAGGAAACAAAGAAACCATTTACCAGAAAGAATCACAAAATCATCACTTTCGCAATGTGTAGAGTGATCGATTTATAATGAGAGTATCAATGAACAAATTAAAATGACATAATGTAAATAGTATGTTTCATTGATTTTTACTTGTCTCAACCTAAAGGTTGGAAGAACCTAAATTAAATGGTCAAGTCAATGGATTTTTTTAATCCTATAAAAACCAACTCTTGCATACAAAATGAGCCCAATAAATATTCGTTGCTGTACTGACAATGTACTAAGCAGAAAGAAGCAACCTAATCATGTAAGAGAACAACAGGATTTTATTAATCTACATATTCACCATCTCCAAAGAAGCTAAATATTATGCAAAAGGTTAACACCAAGAATTTAGCGTACCTATATGAAGAAAATTTCTGAGTATGAGAAATTTAAAACATTACAATTATATACAAAATATGAATCTTACCTAAGATTTCAGGATAAGTGTTAATCTTAACCTAAGAGTAAGGAGGGAAAAGAATTAGGCCAGAGATTTTTTTCAACCCTAACCTTCTTCATACATTAGAGAATACACCAGAGAAAGAAAAGTATATGTAAGATGGTGAAAAAGGACTACAATAATCTAAATGATGTCTTCACAAACCACCAGATTTAGAAAACTTGTCTTCTATAGACTGTGACTTTCTTAACATATTACACAGTACTCTACTGTGTAGATGTACAGAGTAGATGGTCTATCCACAGCAACCAATTGGTTCTTGTAAAGGATACTCCTGCTTGGGCTTTACTTTATCTTTCAAAACTAAATTAGACGGTTTATCCTGTTCTTTTTCATACTCCTTGAAATCACTCTTGGTATATTTCCCACCTATTTATTAAAAAAAAAGAAAAAGAAAAAAGACTTAGTAAGAAAACTCAACTAATTTATTGAAGAACAAAAACTAATTTGTAAGACATATAATATATCAGCTATTTTGTAAGTGGCATATATATTGGCAGGCAGAAAAAGGCTGAGAAGAAAACAAAAGAATAGTAATTCATTCTCCATTACTATTTTAAATGAAATCAGATACCCATTTTGCTAAGTAGCTATACATTGCCACCTAACGATGTGTGTGAGTATTACAACATCAAACTTTAAAATTCTCAATTACAAAGTGAATACATTCACTGGGAAATAACGCAGTATTTAAGTAGCGCCATTAACTCCATAAGAAATTTAGGTCCAAAGGAAACTGAGGGCTTGAGACTGGAGTCTGAGATCTGAGAGGCTTAGAAGTTTGGAATAAGTGAGGCTTTAAACTTCTCTGATCTGTCATAAGATACATGGACCAAAATCTCAACAGAGCACCAAGCAGATAGCATGACATCAGGAATGTACATAGACGTTCACTAAAGGGTGTGAAAAGGGAGCGTCCCTCCCAAGTGCCAAAAATGAAATCAACAATCCCTTCAGAAAAACAGGACCTACTGTTATGTCTTGACTGGCCTTCACTGGCAGGGCCAGGAAAAAGCATCCTATGCAGCCCCTCTACTCCCAAGTTGAAAAATATATGTATAAAGTATACATACTTCCTTTTTTAAAAGAAAAAGCTATAAATATACATAAAACCTACATGGGAATAAAAATATGAAATAAGAGGAAATTCTAACATAAAGTAAATATATATATATGTATGTTCAAAGGATATATGTGGAAAATAATACAAGAACAGATAAGAGCAGTTACTCTGGGAAGGGGAATTGGAAAGATGAAGGGCAGGAGTGGAAGGGAGAGTTTTTTACACCACCTTTTCAATTCTGTACCATATGACAACTATTACAAACTTCGAAAAAAACTTAAGAGTTTTGCTCCTAGGAGAACCAAGCCACCACAACCACCAAAATCATTACTTTGCAAATATGCGGCGTTTGCAATGGGTAATTATAATTTATAACACAGTCAAAGATAGTGAATATATTCACCATCAGCTTAAATACACAAATACACACTCACACTCCCCTGGTACCCTAGATTCTTGTTATCAGCTACATGAAACCATAAATGGCAGAAGTTCCATCAGTGAACTTTTCTCCTAATAAACAGCACTAAGGCAAAGGAGGTACAGCACACACACGCACGCACACGCACGCACATACATCCACAGTGAATAGAAACAAAGGAAGCTGAACAACATACCTTTTCCTTTCCATTTAACCTTTGCAACAGACTGGCTAAAATCCACATGTATTCTTCTGTCATCTATAAGAACATTGTCCATTTTGAAGAACGCTTTCTCACAATCTTCTTCCTGATAGTAATTATAAAAACTCAAGCATAAATCTCTATGGGAAAGATTTCTGCAGCGAGAACAAATACTGAAAATACCACACGTCTGTTGTTATGAACATTAATTTTGAGTGCCTGTCGCACCCCAGATGCTGCTGCACGTTCTGCATCTATGGGCTCAGTTAACTCTGATAACAAGCGTATGAAGTATTACCTACCATTATCGCCATTTTCTCGAAGAGAACACATATGTTTAGAAAGGTACGGAAGTTGCCGAAGGTCAGCTGGCAAAGGGGAGAGCCATGATTTGAGCTGAGGCAGTGTGACTGTAGTGGACATACATACGCTTACAAACTGTGCTGTCCACGTCCCTTCACAAACCCTTTCATTCAAAACCCGAAAATATTCTGAAAGTTGAAAGCTGTTGTTATAAACTTGGTGTTAAAATCCATTTGACAACAAAATTGGACCCAACAGAAGGCCGTGGCCTTGACTTATTCCACTTAGTGTGAATATGAATTAGTTTCAGTGCAGAAATATTCTCTGAATGATTATGGAGTGCTGACCCAGAAGAGTATTATATAGTCCATAGACGTGCGTGTAGACACACACACATACACACTTTACCTTTCTAAGTTCTGAAAATCCTGAAATCAGAAACTTAGCTCCCAAGGGTGTGGATAATGGACTGTGGGCCAGAGATACCAAGGTCTGTGTTACATAAAGATTCTTCCTGTCAGCAACTTCGCAAATGCTGTATCTCCATTTCTGACATCGGAAGACTAGAAGTGATGCATTTCAACCCAGCACTGAACAAGTATCTCCTATATTCCTGGAAACATATTCTTTTTTTTTTTTTTTAAGATTTTTATTTATTTGACAAGAGAGAGATCACAAGTAGGCAGAGAGGCAGGCAGAGAGAGAGGGGGAAGCAGGCTCCCCGCTGAGCAGAGAGCCCAATGTGGGCCTCGATCCCAAGTCCCTGAGATCATGATCTGAGCTGAAGGCAGAGGCTTAACCCACTGAGCCACCCAGGCACTCTGGAAACATATTCTTTGGTGGTGTGCTCACAACTTACTGGAGACAATTCAGAGAAGAATTAAAAAAAAAAAAAAAAAACTAGTTATAATTTATTTATTTACCATGTATGTCAAGAGTTAAATGGATTATAAACTGCATAAAGATACAAAAAAGCTTTATTTATCTCTGTACTACATCATTTAGAACATCTTCTGGCACATGATAGGCAATCAGCGTATTTCTTTTTTTAAGTAACCTTTACACCCAACATGGGGTTCAAACTCATGACCCAAGAGTCGCATGCTCTACTGACCAAGTCAGCCAGACGTCCCAACAATCAATGCATGCTTGATGAATCTATATACTTGGATAGGCATAACTGCATCACTGCACCATTTCCCTAAAGAGAAAGTTCTCAGATACTTCACACTTATGTAGGCACCTGATTTATGACAAAGATGGCACTGCCAAGCTGTGTGGATAGGAAAACCTTTTTAATAAACTATGAGTCGCCTTGCTATCCAATGTAAGAAAAAATGAAATTTAATATGATATACATAACACTCAAAAATCAACTTACAGATCTAAATGGGAAAGATAATTTCACAGCAAACCTTCTAAAGGTAACACTGAAGAATATTCTCATGACTGTGGGGAAGGCAAAGCTTTTAAAAACTAGCCGTAAGAAAAATATTGACAAACTGAACTAAAAATCAGAAATTTCTGCTTATCCAAAGCTGCCATTAGAAATGGCGAAAAGGCAAATCTATAGAGAAGGTATTTGTAACATGTACAACTAAAAAATAAGCTTATATCCAGAAAATGTAAACAATCCTTATAAATCAAGAAAAAGGCAGCCAAACACCCAATCAAAAAGTGGGAAAGTCTTCACAGTTACTTTATTTAAAAGAAAAAGGACAGCGGTGCCTAGGTGGCTCAGTGGGTTAAGGCCTCTGCCTTCGGCTCAGGTCATGATCCCAGGGTCCTGGGATCTGGCCCCGCATCAGGCTCTCTGCTCGGCGGCGAGTCTGCTTCCCCCCCTCTCTCTCTGCCTGCCTCTCTGCCTACTTGTGATCTCTGTCAAATAAATAAATAAAATCTTTAAAAAAAAAAAAAGCTACATGTAACAATATATAAATCTTACAAATATAACACTTAAGCTAAAGATGCTGGAGACAAAAACATGTACTGTGTTTACATTTATATCAAGTTTAAAATTAGACAAAACAGGTCTATGATGTTAGAAGTAGCAGTGATACGGAGGGCCTCTGGAATTCTTCTAATTTTTTTTCTTCTAATCGCAGTGCCTGATATACAGAAGGTATTTGATAAATGTTCTGGAATAACTATCAGTTGGAAGGAGCTACAACTGGACACACATCAGTCCAAAGCTGCTTAAAGAAATGACACAGCCTCTGATAGTGGCTAAAAGCAATAGGAACAGAGTCAGACTTTTCTAAATTCAAATCCCAGCTATGACATTCACTAGGGGCATGATTTTAATCAAGTCACATGACTACTATATGTCTCAGTTTACTTATTTGGAAAAGGAGGAAAGTACCTATCTCATAGAGTTGTGAGGGTTAAATGCAGGTCAAATAGTATAATGCCTGACTTAAAGAAAGTTACCTGAGTGACATAAGCTATCATTATTATTATAGATACTATTTAATCCAATATTCAAGTTGAATTCATAAGGAGGGTAATGCCTAGAAATAAGAGTTCTAAACAAACTGACAAACACCATAAAATAGGTGGTCAGTGACAGACCTTTGGCTAGTATCTAGAACTTTATACTCAGCCCAGTTCTCTATTACTCAATTATGGATCTACATAAACAATGCTGAAAAATCATTTATACAATGTGAAGGACTTCACCTAAAACTTCAAAGTTTCAAAGATACATAAACTCAGACTGCACCTGACCCTCATGTAAAGGTATACATATTAACACCAAAAGATGTTAAATTTACCCTCTATTTGAATATATAAAATTATCTTTCTTGGGTGCCTAGAGAAAGGGTAAACTAATTTTCTAATTTCAGAGACTACAGAGTTCTATAAGTTTTCACATTTTAACACCATATAAGAACAAAATAAATATAAACTTCAAGAATGTATATTATGACCTACCTTTTCAAATTCAATAAAAGCATAACAGAGGGATTCTCCTGTCTTCCAATCCCGAATAACTTCACAACTGAAAAAGTATGGAAAAAGTGACTTTTAAAGAAAAATCATTCACTTTTACTCTTCAAAAGTGAAGAACAAAATAAGCCAGTAATTAGAAGTCAAAGTTAGGGGGTGCCTGAGTGGCTCAGTCAGTTAAGCATCTGCCCTTGGCTCAGGTCAGGATCCCAGGGTCCTGCTCAGTGAGGTGTCTGCTTCTCCCTCTGCCTCTCTTTCTCTCTCACACATAAGTCAATCAACAAATAATCCTTTAAAAAATATATCCTCAAAAAATAACCTTTCATGGGGGCACCTGGGTGGCTCAGTTCGTTAAGTGACTGCGTTAGGCTCAGGTCATGATCCCAGGGTCCTGGGATCGAGTCCCATATCCAGCTCCTAGCTCAGCAGGGAGCCTGCTTCTCCCTCTGCCTGGTGTTCCCCCTGCTCATTCTCTCTCCCTGACAAATAAATAAATAAAATCTTTAAAACAACAACAACAACAACAACACAAAACCTCATTAAAAAAAAGTCAAACCATGGAACTATATTCCTCCAAATTTCTTCAATAACAATTAAAAAAAATAGTTCACTGGTATAGTAACAAAATTATCTCAGTTCTCCTCTAAATCCCCAATCTTGGCCTACAGTCCTCAATTTCTAATGCACTGAAGAAAGTATAAGATAAAATTATTTACTTTATTGTGCCAAAAGTAAACCCCTGCTAAAAAACTCTTTAAGTCATAATTCACTTCTGGTCCAAATGAAGATGAATTATAGAATACCTAATGTTACTACAAAATAATGTAGGCACATTCATACATATATACATGTTTAATAAGTTTATGCTTTGTAGTTTTTGAATTTTAATATAAATCAAGCTTAAATTCATCCCCTAAGTATAGCTATTAGACTTCAATCAAGTAAAAGAGCCAATAAGATGGGAGTTGAAAACCATGCAGCTTGTCCATTTCCTCACATATTGTAAGTCTCATTTTATTTATTTTTATTTTTTTAAGATTTTATTTATTTATTTGACAAAGAGATAGAAAGTACAAGCAGGGGAAGCAGCAGGGAAAGGAAGAAGCAGGCTCCTGCTGAGCAGAGAGCCCAATGTGGGGCTCGATCCTAGAACCATGCATGACCTGAGCCGAAGGTAGACACTTAATCAACTGAGCCAAACAGGTGCCCCATAAGTCTCATTTTAAAAACATGAAATGAGGAGAACTGTTCCATTCAGTTCTTGTTTTAAAGCAAAAATGTGTGTGTTAGAAGTGGGACAAACAGTCAATTATGTGTGTGTGTATATATATATGTACTTATGTATATATATTTGTATGCACGCATATACACACATATACATACATATTTTTCTTCCCCACTGTACAAAGATTTATCTGTAAAATCCATCACTACAAAATTCTAGAGTTCACAGAGTCATCAAAAAATGTACTTAGAAAATCACCAATACCTAGCTTTTCTAAAATCTCTCACTAACTCTAGAGATTACCTTCTTATTGGTCCAAATCTTGAGAATATTATCTCCAGATCTTCATCAGTGGTCACCGGATTCAGTTTACACACAAACAGCACATTTTCTGGAGGTTTAATATCTGCATCAGGTAGGTCTCCCACCTAAATTATAAGTAAACAAAAATTTAAATCAATTCCTTTGTTGTTTCTTTTCTAAATACCCTATCTAGCCCAAAATGCTGATTTCTCTAAACAACAAAATTTATATTAGAAATCTACTGCAGAAAAAAAAAATATAAAATAAAAAAAATTTAAAGAAAGAAAGAAATCTACTATAGGCTTAGTAAAAGAAATCTAAGTATGATTTCAAAATTTGAAATTACATGGGCGCCTGGGTGGCTCAGTGGGTTAAAGCCTCTGCCTTCGGCTCAGGTCATGATCTCAGGGTGCTGGGATTGAGCCCCGCATCGGGCTCTCTGCTCAGCGGGGTTAAACCCTCTGCCTTCGGTTCGCAACATGATCCCAGGGTCCGAGGGTCGAGCCCCGCATCGGGCTCTCTGCTCAGTGGGGAACCTGCTTCCCCCTCTCTCTCTGCCTGCCTCTCTGCCTACTTGTGATCTCTGTCAAATAAATAAATAAAATAAAATAAAAATGTTTTTTAATTGGAATTACAATGTTCCTGGTAGTAATACTAATAGCTAATACTTATCTACCTCTGACTTTGTATGAACAACATGCTTGGCACTTCATATACACTACCAACCAATTCTTAAAAAACAACCATGTGGTTTCCATTTTAAAAATGAATAAAGTTAAATTCAAAAATGTTAAATAACTTAAGGCCACATAGCAATAAGCAACAGAGTTGGGATTTGAACCGAGATCTATCTGGCTTCAAAGTCCCAATTTTATCTCCTATTTTACTTTTTTTAAGTACTTCATCTATTAAAAAAAGAATTTATATAAAGTATATCTAAGTTAAGAAGCATAAAAATAAAAAGCTTAAGAACCAAAATGTCCCCTGATCCCACTGACTCTGCCTTTCTCCCCAGAATACCGAATGTCCTACTTTTTGGTTTTCTTTTTTGGCCATTCCTCTGCATCTTCAGTTTTCCCACATAAGTATATATCCCCAGCAATACAGTTTTAGTTTTGTTTGTTTTTAAACTTTTGAAAAATATTATTATCCTGACTCTAGACTTCTGCAGTAGTAATGTCCCATTCTTTCATACTGTTGTTTGATATGAAACAGCAACAATTCCTGGACAGTGTTTCTAGCTTTTTACTCTTATCCTCATTATCATCTTCTACTTTGGCCAAACTGAAGTCAACTTCACAGACAACTACTGCACTGCACAGGGAATTCCACTTCCTACGGAAGAACCGTTGAGGGTGACTGTGGGAGAAAACCATGATGATGGAATTGGTTTCATCATGGGAAAACTGTATTTCCCATGGATCTTTAGATAAGAAAACAATATTGCTTTATACATATATTCAAAAACTCTGAGATAATTTCTGATAACATTATCATGTAAAATGTCTCCTCTTTAAAACACACTTTAAAAAAAATTTTTTTAAAGATTTAATTTATTTATTTGACAGAGAGGTAAGTGAGCACAAGTATATAGAGCAGCAGGCAGAGGGAGAGGGAGAAGCAGCCTCTCCGCTGAGCAGGGAGCCCGATGTGGGACTCAATCTCAGGACCCTGGCATCATGACCTGAGCCTGAGGCAGCCACTTAACTGCCTGAGCCACCCAGGCGCCCTAAAAAAAATTTGTTTTAATCAGAAACAGTAATAAGCAACAGAGCCAGTATAATCTGCTCAGTGTTTCTGATGCCTATCAAAAGACGATAATCTGGGGTACCTGGCTGACTCAGTCAGTAGAGCATACAACCCTTGGTCTCGGGGTCGTGAGTTCAAGTCCCATGTTGGGCGTAAAGCTTACTTTAAAAAAACTTTTTTTAAAAAAGATAATAATCTATGTCCAATAAGCAATATCCCAGTATGTAAGGGGAAGAGCAAATCAGTACAAAGTCTGAAAAGCACCTATAATACTACATCTAAAGGAAGCACAAAAGGAAAAACAAAAAAGGTTACTGAGTTAAAAAAGAACTTGCTACACTACTTAGTCAAAAGTAACTTTAAAATACTATAAGGGGAGCACCTGGCTGGCTCAGTCAGTGGGTAGTCAAAAGTAACTTTAAAATACTATAAGGGGGGCACCTGGCTGGCTCCGTCAGTGGGACATGTGACTCCTGATATTGGAGTTCTAAGTTTGAGCCACACACTGGGGGTAGAGATTACTTAAAAATAAAATCTTAGGGATGCCTGCATGGCTCAGTCAGTTAAGCATCTGACTTTTGATCTAAGCTCAGGTCTTGATCTCAGGGTCATGAGTTCAAGCCCCAAATTAAAATAATAATAATAATAATAAAAATTAAAAAATAAAAACAGAAGATAGAGGGGCACCTGACTGACTCAGGTGGTAGACATGTGACTCTTAATCTCAAGGTCGTGAGTTCAAGTCTCATGGCTGGGAACAGAGCTTACTTCAAAAAAGAAAACGGCGGTACCCAGCTGGTTTAATTGGAGGAGTATATGACTCTTGATCTTAGGGTAATGAGTTCAAGCCCCAAGATTACTTACATAAATAAAACTTAAAAGAAATAAAAAAGATGAAACCTGTTAATACTGAGAATCAAAACAACACAGGATCACCTATTAGAATGGCTAAAAATCCAAAACACTGACAATACCAAATGCTGACAAGGATGTTGATCAACAGGAACTCTCAATTTTTTTTTAAGATTTTATTTATTTTTCAGAGAGCGAGAGAGTACATGCACACAAGCAGTGGGAGTGGGAGGAAGGAAGAGAAGCAGGCTCCCTGCTGTACAAGAAGCCAGATGGGGGACTTAATCCCAGGACCCTGGGATCATGACTTGAGCCCAAGACAGATGCTTAGCCAAATGAGCCACCTAGGCGTCCCTGGAACTCTCAATCATTACTAGTGGAAATACAAAATGGACAGCCAGTTTGGAAGACAGTTTGGCAGTTTCTTAAAGAGATAAACAATCTTACCATAAATTCCAGTAACTGCACCTTTAGAGATTTATCCAAATGAGTTAAAAACGTCTATCTATACAAAAACCTGCATACAAAAGTTTATTGCACCTTTAGTCATACTTGACAAAACTTGGAAGCAATCAAGACATTTTTTAATAGGTAAATGGATAAACAAATTGTGGTACATCCAAACAATGGAATACAATTTTGTGATCAAAAGAAATTAGCTATCAAGCCACAAAAAGACATGGAGGAAAGTTAAATGCATATGGCTAAGTGGAAGAAGTCACTCTTAAAAGGCTATATACTGGGCGCCTGGGTGGCTCAGTGGGTTAAGCCGCTGCCTTCGGCTCAGGTCATGATCTCGGGGTCCTGGGATCGAGTCCCGCATCGGGCTCTCTGCTCAGCAGGGAGCCTGCTTCCCTCTCTCTCTCTGCCTACTTATGATCTCTCTCTGTCAAATAAATAAATAAAATCTTTAAAAAAAAAAAAAAAAAAAAAAAAAAGGCTATATACTGTATGATTCCAACAGTATGACATTCTGGAAAACACACAAGTATGCAGACAATAAAAAGATCAGTGGGGGTTCCCGGGGGCTCAGTCAGTTAAGCATCTGCCTTCAGCTCAGGTCACAATCCCAGAGTCCTGGGATCAAGTACTGCATCAGGCTCCTTGCTCAGCAGGGAGCCTGCTTCTGTCCTCTGCCTCTGTCTCTCCCTGCTACTCTTGTCCCCACCCCACCCCAAATGAATACATAAAATCTTTAAATAAATAAAAACAAAACAAAACAAAAGATCAGTGGTTGCCAGGGGTTCGGGGCAGGGAGAGATGAATATACAGGGAGTTTTAGGGAGGTGAAACTACGCTCTATGATACTATAATGGTAGATATATATCATTATACATTTCTCAAAACCCACAGAATGTATACAAAGAATAAAACCTAATGTAAATTATGGACTTTACTTAATAATATATCGATATTGGCTACCAACTGTACCACACTAATGCAAGATGTTAATAAGAAAACTGTGGGGGAGGGGTAGAGAAGTACCCAGGAATTCTCTGTACTTTCTGTTCAGTTTTTTTTTTATAAACCTAAAACAGTGGGGCACCTAGGCAGCTCAGTAGGTTAAGCATCTGCTTTCAGCTCAGGTCATGATCCCAGAGTCCCACGATTGAGCCCCATATCTGGCTCCCTGCTCAGCATGGAGTCTGCTTTTCCCTCTCCCTCTGTCCCTCCCCCTGCTCCTGTTCTCTCTCTCTCTCTCTCACTCAAATAAATAAATAAAATATTTTAAATACATAAATAAACCTAAAACAGCTCTAAAAATATAAAGTTTTATTTATTTATTTGACAGAGATCACAAGTAGGCAGAGAGGCAGGCAGAGAGAGAAAGGAGGAAGCAGGCTCCCTACAAAGCAGAGAGCCCCACGTGGGGCTCGATATCAGGAACCTGGGACCATGACCCGAGCCAAAAGCAGAGCTTTAACCCACTGAGCCACCCAGGTGCCCCAAAAGAATTATTCTTTAATATACATAATATTCGGTCCAATAAGCACTCTTCAAAAATGAGATGAATATAAACAACTGAAATTCAATGAATATTTGTAAATTGTACATCCACCACTCATCTTTTAAAAAGGCACTTGGCACTATATTGATTTTGGAACCAAATTTGTTTACTATCACGTATTATGTCATATAAAATTTAATCCAGAAAAGAAAATCTTAAATTTTTATTACTCTATCAAAGAGCCAAAAATAGGGATGCCTGGGTGGCTCACTTGAATGAGCATCCAACTCTTAATTTATGCTTGGGTCATTATGTCAGGGTTGGGGATCGAGCCCCACACTGGCTCTATGCTGTGTGTGAAACCTGCTTGAGATTCTCTTCCCCTCTTTTCCCCCAAAGTCCTGCCCTCTCCCTATCTTAAAAAAAAAGAAAAAAAAAAAAAAAAAAAAAAAAAGAGCCAAAAGTAAACTCATAATGAGTTATATATGAAATAAACTGCAGAACAACTATCTGAACAAAGATAATCATCTTACCATTTCTAATAGAATAGCTTGAGTTTTGGCCTCTTTTTCTGCCTTTATTTCTTCCACTTCTTCAGCTGTTCTTCCTTTGAAATCATCAATTTCTTCATCTGCTCCTATTCGACCACTCTGTAAAGGCAGAAGTTACTTAAACATATAGTGAAAAAATGGAAAAATCTGACAAACATGGGAGATGTGATGCTTTATCCTTAGTTCCATCAAATGTGTTAGAATAGAAACTGAAACTTACAAGCCTCTGAAAATTGATTTAAATTAATTTGATAATATGAGCCAGGCGAAGCTTCTAATTTATTGTTAAATCAAGATAAGCATTATAAAGAAATTATCTGGTATCCAACTCAGTGCTGAATACAGAAAATAAATGATCTTAAAAATTAAGCACCAAATCCCAACTATGAAGATCAATTCAGCTTTGAGAAAGCTTCATAAACAGAAACTTATACCTTAAAAAATCTGAAGGAAAAGTCTGCATTATTCCACAAAAATTTCTGGGTTCTAGCATGGCTCCAGAGTGTTCCCAGCTGAAAAGCTCCCTTACAAGATAATAGTTTACCCTAGCCTTAAAGCTACACTCCTAGAGTTAGAAGACAAGAAAAAACATTTTTGCAAGGTATTTACATAAGCTTTCAGAGCTAAGGCTCTTCTAGTGGAACAGAAATTGAAAAAAGGAAATTAGGAATATGAAAAGATAGCTAGAAAAATGAGTATCTCTATGGAAGGGAAAAAGAATGCTAAACTTGTCCTAGTAGAACTGATCAAGAAAGACGGTCATTCTGAAGAAGTTTTAATAGACTAAAAAGCAAAATCTATGCAAAGCATTAATATGCATGTACATTCAATCACAAGATGATTCTACTTACATCTAGCTGTTCCCTCGTAGGTTCTGGTGATCGATCAGGAATTAATAAATCAGGAGGGTCATCAAATGGATCGTCTAAAATCACTGTATGATTTATCCTTACAAAATAAAACCGGGTCAAAGGTTACATTTGCATTATTTCAGAATCCATGTTTTATTCTTTATAAAGATTATAACAAATGTCTTAAGTATTTCTAATGCCCAAAAATCATAGGCATTTAAATTTTAATGCACAGGTATGTGTTACTAGAGTATACTTTCACAATTAGTGTTACTGTTTCTCATTGCTCCATATTAGATTTACTACTCTGCATTACTCTAAAAATATTTCTAATATTAATATGTCTAACTCTAAGTATTTCTGACATATTTCTCAATAGTACACATTTTTAAAAACTAAATTAAGGATTAATAATTCTCCAACATAAGCAATTATAAATAATTAGTAAAAGTATAAAAATACAAAAGGTCTTTTTTACTTTATGGATAGTACACTGGGATAGCAACCACACCTGATATCTTGATATGGTACAAAGTCCTTGTCAACAAAGGTCTCATTAATTTTCTTAATTATGTCCATGCCTTCTGTCACCTCACCAAACACTGTATGAACACCATCAAGGTAATCTAGATTATCTCCTGTAGTAATAAGAAACTGAATAGAAAAACATAGAAAAATATACATATATATCTGTAATTCAAACTGAAATCAGTTACAGACTGACAAAAATACACAAAAGCAATACTCTACATTCACTGCATGGATTCTTACCCACTTGGTACTAGTACTAACTAAAAAGTACAAACTTATATGTAAAATATCAATACACACATAGATGCTTCCCTGATTCTTAAAAATACTTGGGCAAGGGGCCCCTGGATGGCTCAGTGGGTTAAGCCTCTGTCTTCATCTCAGGTCATGATCCCAGGGTCCTGGGATCCAGCCCCGAGTCGGGCTCTCTGCTCAGCGGGAAGCCTGCTTCCCTCTCTCTCTGCCTGCCTCTCTGCCTACTTATGATCTCTGTCTGTCAAATAAATAAATAAATAAAATCTTTAAAAAAAAAAAAAAAAAGAGTTTCCTTCTCTACAATAAAATACTATACTTGGGCAAACCAAAGCTCAGTGTCTTCACATGTGAACTGTGAGGGGGGAAAAATGGGTTGTTGTCAGGATTAGACAATGAATGAAAGATTCTCAACATGATCTGTTTTGAAGCAATAAATACCAAAAGAAAACAGACCACAATGGGGACATTGATGATCCATGGATAGTAGGATTGTGGATAATGTTATTTTTCTCCCATGTACTTTTCTCTATTTTCTGAACTCCTGACACTGGACATGACTTACATTTAAAAGAACAAAGTACGGATGACTGGGTGGCTCAATTGGTTAAGCATCTGACTCTTGATTTCAGCTCAGGCCATGATCTCAATGTTGTGAGATCGAGGCCCGAGTCAGGCTCTGTGCTGGGCACAGAGCCTGCATGGATTCTCTCTCTCCCTCTGACCCTCCCTCTCTAATAAAAAAATATATAACTAACTAAATTTTAAAAAAAGAACAAAGTAATTTCTTTAAAAGATTTTATTTGTAAGTAATCTCTACACCCAGCATGGGGCTCAAACTCACCCCCGAGGAGTCACACATTTTACGGACTGAGCCAGCTAGGCACCCAGCAAAATAACTTCTTTATATAGAAAATTATACAGTATATTTTTCTTCTAACAACTATCTTTGAAATTCTCTTTTTTTTCTTTAAAGATTTTATTTATTTGACAGACAGAGATCACAAGTAGGCAGAGAGGCAGGCAGAGAGAGGGAGGGGGGAAGCAGGCTTCCCACCGAGCAGAGAGCCTGATGCGGGCCTTGATCCCAAGTCCCTGAGATCATGACCTGAGCCGAAGGCAGAGGCTTTAACCCACTGAGCCACCCAGGCGCCCCTGAAATTTTCTTCTTATTGGATAGTTTAAGAAGATACCTTGTGACTCTTTCCGGTCCTTCATTTTAAAACAAAACTCATCTTGGGGTGCCTGGGTGGCTTGGTCAGTTAAGTCTCTGCCTTCAGCTCAGGTCATGGTCCCAAGGTCCTGGGACTGAGCCCTGCGTTGGGCCCCCTGCTCATGCTCTCTCTCTCTCTCAAATAAATAAAATCTTTAAAAAAATATTCTCTACATAAAAAAAAATAATAAAAAATATTAAAAACTCATCTTCTTACTCATTTCCTAACCTGAGATCCATGTTGATCACTGCCATTGTTCACCATGGACACAGTGCCTTTCTTCTTGTGCTTAATTCTTGGCACTTTTTCAGCCTCGAAAAAGCTTGCTTGATCACCATACAGTTGACTGAAAATACATATAATAAAGTTATAAAATGTAAGTACTCTCAACATGAAATGCAAAGTACTAGTAACAAGTAGGATTACCATTTCTTTTTAGAAATGCCACTATGATTAAAATACTTTTTTTTTTGCTATAGACATTTAGGGAGACTGAAAAAAAATCTATATTTGAACTGTATTTTAAAATGCAGATTGAAATATGTTAGATAACACTGTTGAGGCAATTCTACTTTTTCTCTTTTAAAAATAAAAGAACTCACCCAAAAATAGACTCTCCTCCACGACCAGTCCCTGTAGGATCACCAGTTTGTATGATAAAATCCCTCTATAATAAATAGGATATTTAGTTAATTCACAGAGTTTGCTAAATGGTTCCAATAATACAGGACATGACTAATATCCACCAACTCACCTGTACATTATGAATAAGACAATAATTATAATACTTTATTTTGCACAACTTCAGGAAATTCAAGCAGGCTGAAAGAGAAGTAAATAGTAAATTATATCATAGTTGTTCACAAAAACATTTTAAACCAAGTAAATGCATAGTTGACATAATTTAATTTCTAAATTATCAAACAAACACCCCCAATGGTCAAATATCCTAAATCATAAAAAAGGTGTAAGTGTACAAAAAGGCAATAAATTTTATATTTCAATATATTTATCTTTTTATTCTCTTTTTCTTAGGACTTCTTGGGCATCTGAACTAATGCAGTAAACTGATAAGTATTTGGGATAGGCAACCATTTATTAATGGATTAGTTCTGCAAGAGAAAAAAACCCAAAGAGGATACTATGATGGAAAAGAATCTGAGTATCTGAAAAGGGGTACAAATTATATAAACTAGAGAAAATCAAGTACCTGAGACCAATTTCTTAAATGACTAAAGAGCTCCATGTAGCAGCTTTCTCATATAAATGCACTCATTACTCAATAAATATTTACAGAGTCTCTTCTAGGTGCTTGGCACTGCTATCACAAATGCCATTAAACCATAGTCCCTCCCCTCAAGAAATTCATAGTCTAGCTGTACACTAACAAACCCTCCAAACACTACGCTAGAAATCAGACAGAAAGACCTATGAGGCTATCCAGAGTCCTTACACCCAAGAAAAAATAGTTACAATACCAGATATATCTAATACCATCTGTGCCATTTATATAATAAAATGGAAAAAGTGATTTTTAAAAAGCCACAAAAGTTCAAAAGAGATTGTTTCTGGCCAGGGAAATTAGAAGACCTTAATTAATAACAATTAATAAGAAGCGGCACTGGGTGGCTCAGTGGGTTGAGCCTCTGCCTTCGGCTCAGGTCATGATCTCAGGGTCCTGGGATCGAGCCCCGCATCGGGCTCTCTGCTCAGCGGGGAGTCTGCTTCCCCCTCTCCCTCTCTGCCTGCCTCTCTGCCTACTTGTGATCTCTGTCTGTCAAATAAATATATAAAAATCTTAAAAAAGAAGAGGCTTAAGGTGGGCATTAAAAGAACTAGACAAGCAAAGAGTAGAGAGTGAGCATTTCAAGTTGGGAAGACAGTAGGAATAAGTCTGGATGTGCAAATATAAATGTTTTTCAAAGGGTCCAAAAGACCAGTCTAAGCTCTGTAACACTCTGGTAATACAAAGTGAGAGAGCGTAAATAGACCAGCAGGGCAAGATGGGCCCATGGGATGGAAAGTGCTTGAGTATCAGGATTTTTATTGTTTGCCTAGAAAAATACATTTCTGGGATTACTGTTTAATACAAAAAAGTAGTTCTTTAACTAGAAAACAAAAATAATGGATCTAGGCAGTGATCATCAATGGCTGCCAAAATGTTTAGATGAAAAGCTAATGGGGACACTGCAACAGACACAACAGGTAGACAAGCCTGAACCCACCAACCAATTTTAACTTCACAGGAAGAACCAACCAGACATGAAGTGCTTCCTGAATATGATGCAGTTGAAGTGCAAAAGACCTTATATGAAAATATTCTTGCCAAAAACATTAAACCTGTACTTTATCAAGACTAGATTTAAGTGGCCATTATGAGAAACAGAATAGATAAAAATACATTTAAATATACAAGGATAAAATCAGTCAAATCCAAAATGAGGGAAATTCTATAAAATAAATTACTCAGATTCCTTCTCAAAAAATTGTTAAGGTAGAGGTGCTTGGGTGGCTCAGTCAGTTAAGCCTCTGACTCTATTTCAGCTCAGGTCATGATCTCAGGGTCCTGGGATTGAGCCCTGTGATGGCTCCATTCAGAGTCTGCTTGTCCTTTTCCCTCTGCTCTTCTCCTGCTCATTCTCTCTCTTTCTCTCTCTCTCAAATAAATAAACAAATAAACTCTTTAAAAAAGTGAAGTTGTTGGGGCGCCTGGGTGGCTCAGTGGGTTAAGCCGCTGCCTTCGGCTCAGGTCATGATCTCAGGGTCCTGGGATCGAGTCCCGCATCGGGCTCTCTGCTCCGCGGGGAGCCTGCTTCCCCCTCTCTCTCTGCCTGCCTCTCTGTCTACTTGTGATCTCTCTCTGTCAAATAAATAAAATCTTTAAAAAAAAAAAAAAAGTGAAGTTGTTAAGGGAAAAATGGGGGTGGGGTGGGGAAGAACCTATAGATTAAAAGATATCAACCAATGTAACATATAGATCTTGGCAGTTTCTTTTCTTTCCTTTATTTTTTTTCTTTTCAGTGTAACAGAATTCATTGTTTTTGCACCACACCCAGTGCTCCATGCAATACGTGCCCTCCATAATACCCACCATCTGGCTCCCCCAACCTCCCACCCCCCGCCCCTTCAAAACCTTCAGGTTGTTTTTCAGAGTCCATAGTCTCTCATGGTTCATCTCCCCCTCCAATTTCCCTCAACTCCCTTCTCTCCATCTCCCCATGTCCTCCGTGTTATTTGTTATGCTCCGCAAATAAGTGAAACCATATGATAATTGACTCTCTCTGCTTGACTTATTTCACTCAGCATAATCTCTTCCAGTCCCGTCCATGTTGATACAAAAGTTGCGTATTCATCCTTTCTGATGGAGGCATAATACTCCATAGTGTACATGGACCACATCTTCCTTATCCATTCTTAGATCTTGGCAGTTTCTTACAAAACCGAACACATTCTTACCATACAATTTAGCAATCTAGCAAATACACTTCTTGGTATTTACTCAAAGAATATGAAAATGGATTTTTCACACAAAAACCTGCACACATGTTTACAGCGGATGTGTTCACAATCGCCAAAATATGGAAACAACCAAGATGTCCTTCAGCAGGTGACTGAATAAATAATATGTGGTACATCCAGACAATGGAATATTATTATTTGCTACAAAAAAGAAATGAGCTATCAAGCCATGAAAAGACATGAAAGAACCTTAAATGTATATTACAAATTGAAAGAAACCAATCTGTAAAGACTACATACCGTATGATTCCATTCATGTAACATTCTGGAAAAAACAAATCTATGGATATGGTAAAAGATCACTGGTTGCCAGGAGATGCAGAGAGATGTGCAAATAAATAGGGAGAGCATGATTTTTCTGTATGATACTGTAATGGTGGATATATGCATTATATATTTGTCCAAACCCATAGAATGTACAACACCTGGAGTGTACCTCAATGTAAACTATGGGTTATGACATGTCAACATAGGTTCATCAAATGTACCACTGTAATGTGTGTACAGTGTTACATAGTACAAATAATACAAATGTACAACAAAGGTACACTCTGGTGGGGGATATTGAAAATGGGGGAGGCTGCACATATGTGGCAATAGGGGGTATACAGGAAATCTCTCTACGTAACTTCCCCTCAGTTTTGCTATGAACCTTAAATTGCTCTAAAAAATAAAGTTTTTAAAAACAGGCAAAAGGGGTGGTAACCAGAGCATAATGTATAGAGAAATTGAATTACTATCTTACACCCGAAACTAATGTAACATTATGTGCCAACTAAACTCAAACAGGTTTTTTTTTTTAAAAAGGCAAGGGGGAGTTCTATAGATCAAAAGATATTTAAGAGCTATATCAGCCAATATAATAAATGAACCTTGTTTGGGTCCTTAAATTACCAAGTATTTTTTAAACACTTATGAGACAAAGGGAAATATGAATGATACCAAAAAATTATTGCCAATTTTTTCAGATGTGATAATGATTTGTGGTTATTTTTTTAAAATATTTTATTTATTTATTTATTTGAGAGAGAGAGAGAGAGAGAATTAAAGAGAGAGAGAGCATGAGAAGGTGGAGGGTCAGAGGAAGAAGCAGACTCCCTGCTGAGCGGGGAGCCTGATGCAGGACTCGATCCCAAGAGCCGAAGGCAGTCACTTAACCAACTGAGCCACTTGTGGTTATTTTTTTGATCACTTTTTAGAAATACAAACTGAAGTAACCGCAGATTAAATAAGTCCCATGTAATGGATTTATTCCCAAAAAATCCAGTATAAATGAAACAATATTGGTTATGTGTTGACAAGTTCATTAACTGGTCACTGGCACAGGAGGGCTCATTTTCAAGACTCTTTCTCCTTCTGTATATAAGTTTTCTATAATAAAAAGTAAAAAAAAGGAAAGAAATGCAAGGGAGAGAGGGAGGGAAAGAGGAAGAAAATTAAGTCTGGATATATTTACTATAAAGTGGTAAGTAGTTATACATGTAAGTAAATATCTAGTCACAGGCTTACAAATACATACAAATGGGGTGGGCTTATGTTTTTAGTCTTCCAAACTATCTTTGAAGAATTGCTGTTTGTCTATTCTGTCTGTGTTAACTAGGTAGGATAACCCTACCTCCCCTTTAGTTCCTCAGATTCTGTCCCACATGAAGAGAGTATCAAACAAATTCAAAGGAAAGGAAAACCAAGAGATGAAAAATACAATTGCCTATAATATCCTTTGAATCCCTGGATCCCACCATTCTTAAAGCCAAGCTTACCTCAGTAACAGGAGGCACTCAATTATTTTCTTTGTTTAAGCCAGTTTGAGTTTCTATCATCTGCACTGAGAATCCTAACTAATAAACACATTTATATACATTAGTCAATCATGTAATGAGCCTTTAGTGTGTGCAAAGAGGCAGGCACTGCACCAGGCGCTTAGCATAGAAAGACAAGGAAGGAAGGCATAGTCCCTGCTCTCTTGGAGTTTACATTCTTGAGGGAAGACAAGATTTGCAAACGATTCCAGGGTAACAGGTAAATGATATAACAAAATGTGTTACATGCTGTTTTAAAAGATCTCAGAGCAGAAGAAACATACCTAATTCTGCCCAGGGATAAGGGAGAGCTTCACAGAAGAAATCATGCTTGATAAGCAGGAAGTTTGCCAAAAGGACAACAGTAGAAAGAAACAGGGAAGTAGAAGCAACAGTACAAGAAAGGCATGGAAGTATAATTGAGCATGTAGTGTTGGGGGTTGGGGGTACAACTCAGTGTGGGACAGAGTGTAATATGGCAGAAGAACACTGTATGTACTGTTTCATCCTCTTTGACAGACTACATGCCAGGGGGACAGGATCCTGAATGTAACTAATCTCTGTGGCCTCTAATTTCTCCCAGCTCTGACACCGTCTCCACACTGTTGCCTGTCATCTTTCTAGAACATATTTGCCATGCCTCAATCCTGCTTTTAAAACCTTCAAAGATGCTAGCCATCAGTAGGGCACACAAGACTATTCACATCTGACCTAACCAACATAATTTATACAACCAGACTCATACTTTGCCATTCCACCTCATGTATCATTCCTTCAAGCCATACCAAACTACTTGCTGTTTCCAGAAAATTCCAAGCAAACTAAACAAACAAACAAACAAACAAAACCAACCAAACAAAAAAAACCACCCTCATTCCCACTCATCTTTGAAAGAGCTAGTTCAAGTGTTCTACTTTCTTGGCTTGCTTTGCTTCTCCCCGCCCCCAACGGGGAAGAATTACTCCCTCCGCTGGTTTCCATAGCAACTTACATTCTTCAACTACAACACTTACAATGGACATACAACACTTAAAGGGGCTCCCAGGTCTATTTCTCCCAGTAGAAAATTAGACCGTCAAGGACAAGATGCCTATCCCAGAGCTTGGCACAGTCTCGCACAGCAAACGATGAGTGTTTGCTAGGGCTCCGTGCACATCTCCGGACAGCCCTTCCTCCACCCAGGAGGGATGCTCACACTCACTGCTCCAAACACCATCCTTCCCGCTTCCATCAGGAATTACTGATTACACACCAAGGAATACAGGTTGTGTTTCTCTCACGAGTAAAACTCAGTAAATAGCCACAAAAGCTATGCGCATGGTATATGCAGCCTGCATTTCCACCCCTCTCCCCCCACACACAAGCACACATCACAGGCATTTAATGCCACAAGCACCCGCCACCCGATCGGCTCGCCCCAGATACAGGAGAGAGGCTGCTCCTCACAAAAACTTTTCTTCGAACCACGGTCCGCTAATAAAATAGCCCTGTCGTGTACACCAGTAGCCCAGAAGCTTGAACCCAGTCAAGGGGACCCGGCAGCGAAGAGACAGTGAGGAGAGGAGATCGGGGACACGGCCAGACGGGACCGGGGCCCGGGTCTCACCGCGCGGCCGCTCCTCAGTGTACAGATCGATGACGACGTCGCCTAAAGTTGTCTCCAGCAAAACCGCCATGGCGCCCGCTCCTTCTCCGCAACAAGCCGCGGGTGTGACAGGCGCAGCCCGTCGTGGGTCTACGCCTCACGTCACTCTTGGCGCGACGCCTTTTACGTAATCCCTGCGGCGACGACCCTCCGGTGGGGGCCGGCCTGGTCAGCGCCTGGCCCTCCCTGTGCTGGCGTGGTGACCGTGTGTCCCCCTTCCGACGCGGCCTGTTTGAAAATCCTGGTTCTTCCAGGGCAACTGGCGCGGAAGCCTGTAGCTCAAAAGGACTTTTGTAAAGGGTTTTGTGTCCACCTCAAGAACGGGGGGACCTTCGAGCGGCCCTTTTTTCTCTGCTCCTGGGGAAGCATTGAGAGCGACCGCGGCGCCTGCTTCTCCCACGTTATTATTGGGACGACTACTCTGGATTTCGTAATCAGGGGTGTTCGTCGTCCTGAATCAAAACCTTTAGGCCTTAAATGTATAGTTTGTTACCCAGAAAGGTGACTAACAAGGAATTCTTCCCTGGCCGATCGTGCCCAGGATAGAAGCTCTGCTCACAGTTACAGCGACTGGTCCTTAGAGCGACAAGCTAAAAAACAGCAGGCTTCAGCTCCAAATTTCTACTGGTTTTATCAGTAATCTTTAACTTTGAAGACTTAAAAAAACGATTTTTGGCCTCTGTTGAGGATTTCCATGCGAAGTTTATTCCCCCCCCAATTCTGACAAAACATCACTTTTGTACCATTTTGTACAATTATAGCTTCCAATGATTTCACATCTGACTAAAACCCAACGTTTTTACAATGGTCTGCAAGGCCTTACATGATACTCTTGCTGCTAATCTACCTGTCTTCTCTCTTACTTTGAAGCCACACTACATTTTTGCTGTTCTTTGAGCACTGTTGGCCACACTTCTGCCTCTGGGCCTTTGGGCTGGCTGCCCACTCTGGTTACAACCCTCTTTCTCTAGATATTTTCATGGCTCTCCTTCACCTCCTTTTGGTCTTTTGCTCACTGTCACCTCTCAGTGAAGCCTTCCTTGCCTGACTACCATAATTAAAATTAAGCCCACATACATACACATTTGTTTTTCTGCATAAAGCCTTTTCCACATGGCTCTTTATTACCTAACATGCTATTTATGAATTTGTTTATGATAAATATGAATATATTTTTATATTACTGAAACATAAGCTCTAGAAGGCTAGAGCCAATTTTGCAAGTTTTATTTATTGCTGTATCCCTAGTGTCTATGACAGCCTGCCACATAATGGGTGATTAAATATTAGTTGAGTGAATTAATGAATATTGGCAATTAATTAAACAAATGCATATTAAAATAACAATGAGATTGTTTATGGGAATATAAAATGGTAGAGCTATTTTGGACAGTGCATAGAACTCCAGTCAGAATGACTGAAATTAACAAGTCAGGAAAGGACAGATGTTGGTGAGGATGTGGAGAAAGGAGAACGCTCCTACACTGTTGGCGGAAATGCAAGCTGGTGCAGCCACTCTGGAAAACAGTATGGAGGCTTCTCAAAAAGTTTAAAATAGAGTTACCCTAGGACCCAGCAATTGCACTACTGGGATTTATCCCAAAGACACAAATATAGTGATCCGAAGGGGCACGGGTACCCCATCGTTTATAGCAGCAATGTCCACAATAGCCAAACTATGGAAAGAGCCTAAATGTCCATTGAGAGATGTATGGATAGAGAAGATGTAGTATAGGGGGAATATGCAGCCATCAAAAAATTGAAATCTTGCCATTTGCAATGACGTGGATAGAACTAGAGAATATTGTGCTAAGCGAAATAAGTCAACAGAGAAAGACAGTTATCATACGATCTCACTGATTCGGGGAATTTAAGAAACAAAACAGGATCATAGGGGAAAGAAAAGAAAAATAAAACAAGATGAAATCAGAGAGGGAGACAAACCATAAGAGGCTCTAAATCATAGAAAACAGACTGAGAGTTGCTGGAGGGGAGAGGGTGAGGGGATAGGGGAACTGGATGATTCACATTCAGGAGGGCCTGTGATGTAATGAGCACCGGGTATTATATATGACTGATGAATCACTGAACTCTACCTCTGAAACTAATAATACACTATATGTTAATTGAATTTATTTATTTTTTAATATTTTATTTATTTACTTGAAAGAGAGAGAGGAAGGGAGCACAAGCAGAGGGAGAGGCAGAGGGAGAGAGAGAAGCAGCCTCTCTGCTGAGCTGGGAGCCCGACGATGCAGGGCTTGATCCCAGGACCCTGGGATCATGACCTGAGCCCAAGACCGAAGCTTAACCAACTGAGCCACCCACGCACAATTAATTGAATCTAAATTTTTAAAAATTCTGTGTATGGTTATAAGACATAGATCAAGAGAAAGAGAAGATTTGGAAAAATTAAATATTTTTTAAAGACAAATTTGGACTATTCAAAGATAATGAGAAATTGACATAATAAATATGAGGAATGATTTCACATATAAAGTGATTCACTAATCACCATAAATGATATAACCAGACTCTTTTGCAAACTCCAGGCCTAAGTGTGATATCTTAAGCCTAAGATAGAATACCTTATTTATTCTTCAGTGTGCAATTTGCTCTATCTTTAAATTATGTTATAATGAATATATATACACACATAGGTACAATGATATATCACTAAATATCAAATATTCTACCTTCATGGGGAAAATATTTCATGCTGTTATATAGTTCATGCTTATCAGCATCTTATTACATTTTAAATTCTAATGGTATAAATACTTACGTGGTTTATACAGTAGATACATAGGTGAAAAGAAAAGAGATACATCCTTCACAATTCTACCAATTGTAACTACTAAAGTAGATTCAGTCTAGAGAAAAGATTAGTAAATGTGTATTGCCTTCTGAATATCACCATCACCAACCACTACAACCAATTTCTGTGTTGACATCATTTCATATATTAATCTGAACAACCACATTCAAATATCTGTAGCTTTACTAAAATTGCCAAAGGTAAAATCCTGATTTTAAATGACTAAATGTGTGAACAACAAAAACACATATTTATGATCATATGTAATATTATTTTGTGCAGAAGCACTCATGTGTTTGACAAGTCCAGCATGGTTTTCTTTACTCAACTTCTGTTCCTTTTCCTGCCGTTTCCCCTCACACCCTGAGGAATCTCAGTTTGGTGAACTAAGATTCATCCTAGTCACTGTTGTCATTACATTTACAGTAAAATGTCTGGGACAGTGACAGTCTGAGGGCTAGAGACCATTTCTGGCTGGCTGGAAAGCAGGACATTTTGCCCTTGTTGGAAGCAATCTTTATCTGCTTCTTCATCTGCCTGTCCTTGTCAAGGACTTCAACCACCTTTTCTTTGTTGTGATTATTTTAGCATTGACCTTTTCCTTAGGTATGGTGTTTTAAAATGTGGGTTTTATTATTATGCATGTACAGTAAAGCCAACAGGTCAGGAGATGATTGCCATTGAAAAGATAGTTTGTTATTCACAATGGGGTTGGGGGGGGCGCACACCATGCCATGCAAGACCAAATAGAAAAGTACAAGGGTTGGTCAGGATATTGAAGGAGCCAAGAGAAAACTATAGGCAGGAGTCCTTTTTCTGGTTTCCGTGGGGAAGGTGAGACAAGGTAGGATAAACAGGTTTAGAATTGGCTAGTGTGAATAATTTCGCTGGGCTCTGGGATATATAGGCTATCTCTAGTTGTCTTGTACCTGGTCCTGGGATGATTAGGACAGAGGAATATTGCCTCCTGGACTGCAAAAGCCTGATAGAAGAAGAGATTCAAAATATGGGCTCTGGATTGATTGTTTTGCATATAAAAGGCATGCTGTGAATTAATAGAAAATATATATTGGTCTTTGCCCCCAGTTCCTGCCATGGAGATCCTGAAACCCTGTTAATTTCCTAAATGACACAAACACTAGGAGCATCTCTTGTTTTGAGATTGGTTTCTCTCTGGGGCACCTGGGTGGCTCAGGTCATGGTCCCGGAGTCCTGGGATGGAGCCCCGCATTGGGCTCTCTGTTCAGCAGGGATCCTGCCTCTCTGCCTACTTGTGATCTCTGTCTGTGAAATAAATAAATAAAATCTTTAAAAAATATATGAGAAAAAGATTGGTCTCTCTTTTTTTAAAGTAAGTTCTAGTCCCAATGTGGGGCTTCAACTCATAACCCCAAGATTGAGAGTCACATGCTCTACCAACTCAACAGTCAGGCACCCCTAATATTGGTCTTTGACTCTGTTTCCGAAGGTCTTGTGATCTCATGGGTAATAAGAGTGTCTTTTGTTCTACTGAGGTAACTCTGGGTGGGTTTCTGGCTGGCTCCTGGATGAGGACTGGTCACCAGAAAGACCAGGATGTGGCTTAGAATTTTCAGCCCTGCTCCTCATTCTCTTGACATGACACAAGAGCTGAAAATGGAGTTACTGATTGATGATGCCTCCATTAAAATCTCCTAAGTACAGGGTACAGAGAGCTTCAAGGCTTGTGAATAGGGGGAGGTGCTAGGAATATGGTATGCCTGGAGAGGGCATGAAAGCTCTGCCCTCTCCCACATACCTTACCTATGTATGTCTTTCCAACCATTCATTTGTGTCTTCTATTATATCCTTTAACAAATGGGGAAACCTAAGTGTTTTCCTGAGATCAGTGAGTTGCTCTAGCAAATTAATCCAGTCTTTGGAGGGGGTCATTAGAACCTCTGCTCTGTAGCTGATTGGTCAGAAGTATAGGTAATAACCTGGGCTTGCAACTGGCATCTGAAGTATGTGTGGGTGAGAGTAGGTGGGGGCTGTCTCAGGGGAGCCCTGATCCTGTGGGATCTGATGCAATCTCTAGGTAGATAATATCAGAATTTAATTAAATTGTAGGACACTTAGTTGGTGTGGCCAAGAACTGCCTGCTGGTATGTGCCAAAACCTCCAACAAACTCCAACTTTAGCAGGCTTTTTTACTGTTTTTTGTCCACAGACTTCCTGGGGCTCAGAGCTAGCCATGGAGACAAATGGAAGGATAATGGATCATTAGACCATGGAGCGGAATC